GCCACTTTTGACGATGGCTGTAGACCATGGTAGACAATTATGATTTCTCCACTTTTGTTTGCTTGTTGTTTAACGCCACACTCATCAATATTCCGGCTCTATGACAGCGGTCTTTAAATACTCAAATCTGGGCCAGACAATCCAGTGATATATATCATGAGCATCAATCCATGCAATTGGGATACCATGACATGCATCAACCAAGTCAGCAAGCCTGACCACCAAATCCCGTTAGACGCCTCTTGTGACAAGCATGGGTACCCGAAGACCAATTCTAACACGGAATCTTCGCAGGATCACGCTTATTGATGTCATCCAATCTGATGCTTTGAAGTTTGTAAATATGGAAGCTTATAACAAGGTAATATTAGCACAACTCAGAACAGAAAACAGTAGCAATTTGCAGTAAAACAAAAATAAATTTATATCTATTTATTCTACACTGGCTGTGAAAGTTAATACAGATTGTACCAGATGGTGTTGATTGATGTTCACGCAGTCAAACTCTTGTTTGCCCGGTCCATCTATGATTATTTACAAGCCTGTGTGATATAGCTGGAATATTGCCTGGTCAGGATAGGATTATTTACAAGCCTGTGTGATATAGCTGGAATATTGCCTGGTCAGGATAGGATTATTTAAAAACCTGTGTGATATAGCTGGAATATTGCCTGGTCAGGATAGGATTATTTAAAAACCTGTGTGATATAGCTGGAATATTGCCTGGTCAGGATAGGATTATTTACAAGCCTGTGTGATAGATATAGCTGGAATATTGCCTGGTCAGGATAGGATTATTTACAAGCCACTGTGATATAGCTGGAATATTGCCTGGTCAGGATAGGATTATTTACAATCCACTTTGATATAGCTGAAATATTGCCTGGTCAGGATAGAATTATTTACAAGCCTGTGTGATATAGCTGGAATATTGCCTGGTCAGGATAGGATTATTTAAAAACCTGTGTGATATAGCTGGAATATTGCCTGGTCAGGATAGGATTATTTACAAGCCACTGTGATATAGCTGGAATATTGCCTGGTCAGGATAGGATTATTTACAATCCACTTTGATATAGCTGAAATATTGCCTGGTCAGGATAGAATTATTTACAAGCCTGTGTGATATAGCTGGAATATTGCCTGGTCAGGATAGGATTATTTAAAAACCTGTGTGATATAGCTGGAATATTGCCTGGTCAGGATAGGATTATTTACAAGCCTGTGTGATATAGCTGGAATATTGCCTGGTCAGGATAGGATTATTTACAAGCCTGTGTGATATAGCTGGAATATTGCCTGGTCAGGATAGGATTATTTACAATCCACTTTGATATAGCTGAAATATTGCCTGGTCAGGATAGAATTATTTACAAGCCTGTGTGATATAGCTGGAATATTGCCTGGTCAGGATAGGATTATTTAAAAACCTGTGTGATATAGCTGGAATATTGCCTGGTCAGGATAGGATTATTTACAAGCCTGTGTGATATAGCTGGAATATTGCCTGGTCAGGATAGGATTATTTACAAGCCACTGTGATATAGCTGGAATATTGCCTGGTCAGGATAGGATTATTTACAAGCCACTGTGATATAGCTGGAATATTGCCTGGTCAGGATAGGATTATTTACAAGCCTGTGTGATATAGCTGGAATATTGCCTGGTCAGGATTGGATTATTTACAAGCCTGTGTGATATAGCTGGAATATTGCCTGGTCAGGATAGGATTATTTACAAGCCTGTGTGATATAGCTGGAATATTGCCTTGTCAGGATATGATTATTTACAAGCCACTGTGATAGCTGGAATATTGCCTGGTCAGGATAGGATTATTTACAAGCCACTGTGATAGCTGGAATATTGCCTGGTCAGGATAGGATTATTTACAAGCCTCTGTGATATAGCTGGAATATTGCCTGGTCAGGATAGGATTATTTACAAGCCACTGTGATAAAGCTTGTAGTTGTAATATGGCGGACTAAACTGTAAAAAGAATAGTCTTGTTGTACAGACAGACAAATTTCTATTTGTTATTCAGTCTACAGGAATTGCAATAACAGAGCTTAAATTAACTTGTTCACAAGTCACGAATATGTCAAGTCTCTCTTTTTTATCAACTCCTTCATTTCCGGCACAGATTACCGTTCCTTAATTTCTGGTGCCAGCTGGGAGTTTGTTTTGTTTGCTTGAAGCCAATACTTAGTAAACAATACATACATCTTTCATGCAGGCTGTGTCTGACTCAGAAGTCAAGCCCTCAGTTAAGAGGGTTCAGATATCTAAAACCCTCACTTCCGAAGGTTCAAAACCTCTTTCAGTGTCAAGAAGGTGAACATGATGTATTTGCAAATGTCAGGAGTGTTCACCTGACTTTCAAGAAGTGTTTACATACTTGCAGTGTGATAATTGCTTGTCTTAGCAATGCTAAGATGTTAAGCCTTGATGTTGGGACATTGTACACATGCATTATATGATTAATGCTGCTGCTGTGCATTTTCCTTTTGTTTATTTTCTAGTATACAATAATAATAAGACTTTATTCTGTGCATCATGTTGACCAAGCATGTCACACCTCAAATTTGCTTTTCTTTTCCAACCGCTCTACAGACTGCAGTGGGGAATGAAAAAGGCCAGACATCTCACCTTAGCCTAGTGTAATATACCATGATATACGTTAACATTATATCCCAGAAATAAAGGTATTATTATATTATCTACAACATACAAAAGATAATCCAAATGGAGCCCAGGACAATGCTTAATTTCAGGAGCTAGGCAATCTAGACTTGAGAAGGATTCATTTTTATGCCCCTATCAAATAATGCTGGGGGATATAGTCATCGTCTGGTCTGTCTGTCCGTCCGTTCATATTTAGTTTCCGGAGCATTTGAAAACCATGAAAGATTTTTCATCCAAAATTGGTGCATGAACTGAAGTGGTGCCTTTTGCTATTGTAGGGGGTGGGGGATATTTGTCATCTTCTGATGACTCTTGTTAATTTATTCCCTAGGGCCTGGGAGACAAATGTCTTGTGTAGAGATCACAATGATTGTCTTTACCTTGGTTTCTTTTTATAAATTACAATGCATGGATAAATTGATCATTTATCAATTAAGTCCTCATTGAGCCCAGGTTTTGAATTTTTTTATAGGCTTCAGTGTTTATGGAATATTGCTGACTGCAGTGTAGCTCATTTATAAAGTAACATGCTCTGAGAATATCTTTTTGTTATGATAGATGCTAATTAGAAACTGACAGTTAATCATTATGATATATGTGACGGATGATACTTGACCAAAAGTCTGCAGCAAATGGGAATGAAAACTTTACTAAACATGATGGCTTAGTCAAGGTGATGTGTGGTTTACTGATAACAGGACCAGTAAAGATAAAGAGCCTTGAACCCTTACTTTTTAACATGTGTAAGTATTGAATTGAATGCTTGTTACAATACAATGTTAAAATGCCTCTGAGATTATGAAAATATGAACTTTAAGAAACAAGAAATTGCAGAAATTACTATTTTTTTCCCAATTGCTTTTCAAGAGCAATAAGTTTGGAATCATGGAAAAATCCCTTAATAGTGCATATTGATAATACAGACTTTTGGAAGTCATCAAAGCTTTCCTTAGCATACTCAGGAGGGTTGCGGGAATTTTTGGAATTAAGAGTGATCTCTTTGTTGGCAGCATCTGACTGACAGTGTAATACAAGAATTACAAATGTGAATATCTTATCCAGCTTATTTTACAGGTCTGCTGTCAACTAGGGTATAAACACATATATTGTGTCATTTGGTTACGGCCTGTATCGCACATGTGGTGGGAACGACTGTTTAACACAGCTACGGTACCCCCCAAAATGACTTTGATTAATATCAGAGGGTTATGTAATCTGTATGTTTGTCACATGTAGTGCACTTTTTACCCCTCCATTCAGGAGTGGTAGTGTTTTTCTTCAATGTGTTACACAGAAGATGAATAATTACAGAATTCCTTCCGTCAACTTCAGTTTTCTGACACATGTGCTTTATGAGGTCTTGGCACTTTGGGCCCAGGTGGAGGCTGTTTTTGTACTGATTGCCGATTTGTATGTTGTTGTTGTAGAATAGAAAAATGTGTGTGAGGAACAAGTTTTGGATTGGTCTGTGGACATCCAGGCAGCAGCATTGTGTTACAATGTGTGATTGGTAGATACACATTCTTAAATAATGCTGAGAAGAGGAGACTAGTTGACAAACAAATATTGTTGACGCTTATGTCTCGGAGATAATATGAATTAATGGACGCAGTAAATTCCTTAATAGTGCAGGGGACTCTGGGTAAGAATATAGTTTCCCAGCAACGATGCTCGTCATTAGGGGGAACCAAATGAATTGAGTGGTCTGTAGGGCTGGGACGGGTAACTCGGGTACCCGGGTAGGGTGGGTACTGAGTAGGACCCGGGTACCCACAGGACTACCCGGACCCATGGTTAGTCACGTGATATATTGTTTAATGACAAAAATTATCTTAAACTCTGTAGTTACACTATATCTGACAATGCACCCATTCCTTCTGACTTTTATATGTTTGAATAAAGATAAAACTTTATGCAGTAAACTTCAGTGTATTTATGACCAGATTGTTTTACACGTGTATCTGAATACATTTGGCCAGGGCTACGGTCATACCTTTCCAAATCGGTCAGTTTTCTATCTCTAGATATCTACAGCGGGTACCCGGGTAGGGTCGGGTTTTAGGGAGGTGGGTACCCGGGTAGTAAATTTGGTCTCGTCCCAGCCCTAGTGGTCTGACTTGTTAACTTGTTGATTATTTGGTTGGTTTATCATATCCCAATTGTATCGATCAATGCTCATCATGTCAATCACTGGATTGTCTGGTCCAGATTTGATTATGTACTGACCCCGTCATATAGCTGGAATGTTGTTGAGGAAGATGTTAAACAACAAACAACAACCATACCATCATGTAATGACAACCCTTGTCATGTTGCAGGTCCATGCATAACTATCTTCGGATCACGCGGATCTTGAAGTCACTGGGAGAACTTGGCTATGAACATCTGAAAGCTCCATTTGTGCGTTTCATCCTGAAGGAAGCCATGGAACAGAAGACCCTGGAAAATACACTTGATAGTTGCTACAACTACTGGATAGAGACCATCAAAGACGACAAGACCAGAGAGGAACTTCGAGACTTTGCAGATAATGTCATTTGTTCTGATTCATAAAGACTGTTTCTTGTCATGTTTTTATAGTTTTTAGAGGGTTTTCCCTGATTAATTCATCATTGATAAAGTAGTGTCAGGAAATGGAAGCTGAAGTTTCTCTTATGTTTGAACAGTACCGTATTCGACGTAATAAGCACCCAAGGCGCTCTCAAAATTAGGAATAGGGGGCTCTTATTAGAATATAATTTTGGTGAAAAAAACAGAGTTGAAAGATAAATTTCGTGGTTTATGCTGACAGCCTGAAATGTTTATATACGACAGATATATTTTTCCAGAATTAAATTGCCCATAAGTTAGGTTGCATATAACACACGAGTGTGTATTACACACAAATAAATAAGTCTTGTGTACATTGATCAGTTGGAAGGGGTGCTAATTGGGATTGTTCACTTGCCAATATATTAATAAATATCGCTGTGGGCGCTTATTGGAGCGGGGCGCTTATTACGTCGAATACGGTACTCCAAAGAACATTCGATACATCCAGAATCATTTCGGGGTTATTAGTTGAAAGGTTGATAAGATTCAAGAACCATGAACTTGCTCATGTAATAAGCAATAATAAGATTTTTTAAATGGTATTAAATTAAATCAGATCATTTTGTACACATTAAAAAAAAATGTTTGTTTGCCATATCCAACTTGCTGTGTAAATTGTTTGTCATGGGTTGGCTTTATTTTAAGTATTGGGAAGACATAATTTTGAACTTTCATTATCAAAACTTGTCAATGAATTCTAGATTTCCTGTTGGTGTTCTACTGTGAAATATCAACAACAAATAAACCTAATTTTATGAATATTTGCAAAGAAATTTATTCAGAATGTTTTTGATTCTGAAGTATCAGTTGGCAAACATTCATTTTGTTCTACTCCAGCAGTAACGTTCTGTCCATTATAATGTTCTATAGTTCTCTGTTAGAATATTGGGATATTAGCATGAGTCCTGCTTCACGAATACCCTGTTCTCACATATCAAAAGTTGTGCATTTCAAACTGTATGTGGATTGTCCGACTTTCACTAATTATTTGTCAGCTTTACAATTGTGATTATCACTGATTTTTCATTTCTATGTTGATTTTAGTGTGTGTTTCATATTTACCTTTCCTGTTTAGCACCTGCTTTGAATTAATAAGTTTGGAGTCTTGGTGCAGGTAACTGACAGTAATTTTGAGTACATTCAAACCTCGTTATGTCAAACTTGGATGTGTTGACATCATGGTTGTCCATGCACCCATTTGAGAGACCCTAATGTCCAAGTTTAGCATAGTCCCCCACCCCCGATGTCTCGAACTCTTGGTAACTCGAACATTTTTCCAGGTCCCCTCAAGTTCGACACAAGGTTTGACTATATATACACTATTTCCCCTGATCAGCATAGCTTTCTGATTTAGACAATTTGAAGATCAGTTTATTACATTCAGTTGGAGATAAACCTGGTGTGTTTTGAAATTTGAAACCCTCTCACCATACTCACTATAGAATCAATAGCTCTTATTTTTAATTTGGAAGCGAGCGCTTTAGCCTGTCATCAAATCAATATGACTATAAATACCCTTCAGTGTCACTACTGGATGCTACATCTATATACGGAAACCGTCCATATTTAAGTAATTTCAGTGGGTCTCATGGATATATTGGCATTTCATTCTTCTGGTGGGACCCATAGGCCTCGTACAGTATATATCTGTGATAAGTCTAAGCTTTGAGTAACGACCAACTATTTCATTTCCTTGAGGGCTACCAGAGATTTTCATATTATTATTTTGTCCCTGTGGGGTTTCAGGATTAGAATTGTTCCCACGACCTATCCTAGTCGTAAGAGGCGACAATGAATCGAGTGGTCAGGCTTCGTCACTTGGTTGAATGTGTGTTGTAATACCCTGATGGCGTGGATTGCTGCTCACAGTATCAATCACTGGATTAAATGGTCCAGACTCAATTATTTATAAGCTGCTGTGAAAGAGATGGAATAATGCTCCGTGCAGCGTTAAAGAACACACACACACACACACACACACACACACACACACACACACACATTTGGCTCTGGGTATATCACAGACATGTTGCTGGAATATTGCTGAATGCCGCATTTAACAACAAACAAACATCATCCTACAGAATAGATCTTATTTCAGATACTGGCATTGAGCAGGGCCTTTGTTGTTGTTTTGTGTGTTCATTACAAGTGCCGTGAATGGTTTCCAGAGTTGCGTCCCCTGGGCGCGCCAGAAACCTATGATTGTGGGTTCAATTCCAAGTCCGCCCCGATTATATTTCTACGTTTGTCAGCACCATCCCTGTGCTCGTGGGTTTCACCAAGGTGGTAAACATCTTCCTCCCACATTAAGCTGACACGCCGCTATATAACTGGAATACTGTAAAAAGCCAAACCCAACTCACTCACTCCTAATCAAACAGAGATGCTCTAACTTGGCAACCCTTGGATGCTGTAAAGGGGGCACACTAAGGGTTGAGAAATCTCTTAATTGGCCCCAAAAGGGATGAGAAATATGTTATAAGGGGGGGGGACAAGGCTTAGCAAATTTTATTCAAGTCAAGTTCAGTCTCTATTTGTGTGTATGATAACCCCAATGTTATGCTTTAGTCACCTAGCACGACATTGTACTAGACCATTATTAAAGTCGAGAAATATCTTTAGGACATTTTCTATGACAATCACTCAATGTTCCAGAAAACGCAAAAGTCCGAGACCCGGGATTGACCCAAGGAATAAGAAAAACATTGCATAATGTACCTACTTGTTAACAGTGTCTTTCAGAAACAACCTTTCACGGAACAGAAAGTATTCTGTGATCTGGATCCATCGTTTTTAGGGGTCAAACACAAAGGCAGAAGCATGTAGTTTGTTGACTGAGAGAGGACGTTTAAATTTTGGACCCTTTCCTTTTAAAAATGCCGGATCCACCCTTGAAACATATTTACCAAGAGAAATTACCATATTTGTTGGACTATATATCTTGTCCTTTAATATTACCAACTTGTAATTTATATTAATATCCTTAAATTAAGATAATCAGTTTTATTTTTGACAACATATTTAATGTATCAATATATTTGTGACTATTAAATGAGTAATCAACTAAGTACTGTTATGCCCCAACAGTGGTGTGTGTTCATGAAGAAAGGGGGGGATAACTGCATTGATTAGAAATATTCTGTGTGAGACAGCTCCACATGATCAATCCGATGTGCGGGGGCACGGGTGGCCCAGTCGTCTAAGGTGCTGCAATTTGCTGTGCAGAGTTGCGTCCCTTGGGCACGCCAGAAACCTATGATTGTGGGTTCGAATCCCGGTTCGCCCTTATCATGTTTCTAGGTTTGTCAGCACCATACCCGTGCTCATGGGTTTCACCGAAGTGGTAAACATCTGAGACCTGCATCACTTCGGGCTTTCCTCCCACATTGAGCTGACACGCCGTGCAATAACTGAAATACTGTTAAAAGCGGCGTTAAACCCAACTCACTCACTCACCAATCCAATGTAATGAGACACTATGGTCAAACTAGCCTTCTCTTCTGCAGTAATGGCAGGCAGTATGGTACCCCAGTGGTTAATGCATTCACCGCTGAATATGGTTAAGTGAGGCGTTAAACAAACAAATCTTGTTTTGGATCTATGTGTTGTTGATTCATTCATTTTAGGTAGCGTAAACAAGCTGTATCATTAATCACTATAATAATAATAATAATAATAAAAATAATAATTAAAGCTGCAAGCAGCAATGGTGGGCTTCAAGTAACACTGCGCATAAAGGTCCATGTTCGAATCCTCAAAGGGTTTCCTTGTACCAAATCTGTCTAATGTAGGCACCACTTGCAGGGCATCGCCACTACAAAATTGTTGTATGCCGGGGTGTCTAAGTACCCATTTCTGACATCGAACATGTTCGAATCCACAAAAGGTTTGCTTGTACCAACTCTGGGAAAAGATAGTCACCGGATATCGCCGCTACGAAATTGGCGTGTTCCAAGGGTGTCCCAAATATTGATCATATATTACCACCAAGTGGTGTTACTTTTAGCATGCAACCAAGAACAAACAATAGGATGCATATGGCACACTAACTTCATGATACTTGCAATAGTTTCTGTCAACAACTTTACAAGCTATGACCTTTAAAGTAAAATGTCAGTGAAAAAAATCATCAAAATCAAAATCCAATAGGGCCGTCAGTAAGAAAGATATCCAAAAACGGTTTGATGTGTTGTGTGTGGAGACAATTCTCAGAAAGTTTAAAATCATTTCATGCAGTGTACTCTTGAGGTGTTTTCGTTCGAAGACATGTACCCAAAACATTGAATCCAATATTGCTGCCAAACCACCTAACCAATGACCAAAGTTAAAGAACCACCGAAAGCAGCAGACACAAAGTTTTAAAGTAATCTGACTTGCGGTTGCGGAGCAATAGGGCAAAAGGTATATTCAAAACTTTAATTTTCCGCCCTTTGTCGTTTGGCCTACGGCCTTGGGATTTTTTTCATATCTAGAACTCAACTGTCTCCATACACATACAAAATTTGAACGGAATCGAGCCAGTGGTTACTTTGCTAGCTCTGGTACAAAAATCGGCAGAAATAATAATAATAAATAAATCAGCCGATTACAATAGGGCTTCCAGCTTTTCAGCTTGGAGCCCTAATGATAATAATGGAATTTCTATTGTGCCATATCAACCCAGGTGCATGCTCATAGCGCTACATAAAACATGACCGCAAAGTTAAAGAGTAAGAGCAAATGTAGAAGTTTCTGACATCTGAAGAGGTGGGTTTTCAGCCCAGGTTGAATTCCCACTTGGGTACAGCATGTGAAGTGCATCATGATAGTGCAGAAATGGCGTAAAACCACACTCACTCACTCACTCACTCACTCACTCACTCTTTGTCTTCATTTCAAAACTCATCGGGCAGGCAGGCAGGCAGGCAGGCAAGCTGACAGATGTCAAGTGTTATGTGCTCCCCAGCAGAATTGCTTCTGTAGTATCCTGTTCTTACAGTTTCTTGTGTGCACAACAAGGTTAAACACAACGTAAGACATCCGGACATACGAAGAGAAACATCTCTTTATACAAGCGTATTTTCTTGACGATCAACAGTTTTGTTTTATTTTGGAGCAGTTTCATAGATTTAACATGTCCAAACTCTGAATGTTAAATGCTTGTCTACAGTGCCTGCAGTTGACCATGCACTTGCATGAGTGGTGATCAGGCAGCA